TGTCTAATTTTTTAGAGGAAATTCGCACAGGGATCTCATTTGTGTCATTTGTGTCACGCTTTTCTCCTTCGAACCCCACAGCAGGAAAGCCTTTCTGGGGCATCTCCCGGTGCTGAAATCAGCTGAGCTCGCAGCGTTGTGCTGCTAGCTCTGCCCTACCCTGCCAAGGCGCCTGACGCAAAAACGCCGAACATGAGGCTATAGCGCGCGGAGAAAGCGAAGACGGAGGTTCAAGCTATGACACCCCCGGACGGCTTTCCTACTACCAAGGCGTGGTTTTAAGAACCAACAAACGTGGTTAGAGTGTTAGAGTTAGAGTGTTTCTTCTTAGTAGCTTCTTGTTCCTAGTAGTAAGGCCAGGAGCCCCTAGTAGCGTCCTTGCTCCTAGTAGTAAGGCCAGGAGCCACGAGTAGCGTCATTGTTCCTAGTAGCGATGCACTTGTTACTAGTAGCTTAGAGTCAGAACCTCAAGAACGAGGTTCAGAAATCGTCTGGAAGAGCCGTTGCGGGTCCCTTCTGCCAGTGCCTCGCCACCCGCTTGGCCCAGCGGCGCAGGGTTTGGAAGCTCCTGGCCCTTCGGCGCGTTAGGTTTGGGTCAGCTGGAAGTGTTTTTTCTTCCAAAATTCAGGGACATGGGATGTCCTTGTGGAACCTCGAAAAACAAACATCAATGGTCCTTTCAAACCTGGATTATGTACCACGGTCTGCTCTCCTGAGACTGCAAGCCTGCCAAGTGTGTGTTCAAATCTTCGAGTCCTGGCACGAGGGCACGACAGCATTCGCATCTGTTTCTTTCGCACGAGAGAAAGCAACAGGCCATGAAATGGGCCATGAAATGGCCCGAGATTTCAGTGCCCCTTTTTCAAACCAAAGGGGAGAGGGGGCGCGTTGACATGGAGTTTGTGCAATTGCTTAGAAACATTAAATCACCTGTCTTTTGCACTTCTTAAGCCATTGGACTAGCCAGTAACTCAGTAGCCCACTGGAGGTACCTTCATTCTACAAATGATGACATCTGCGAATGGCCAACGTTCTTTACGAAACGTCCAAAACCTCCAGTTAAGGAAAGGAAGCATACAAAAGGTCTGCCTGCATAGTGCTGTGCTTTTTGGGTGTTCAGCTTCTTCAGGAAAACAAAAAATGTTTGAAGTTTGACTCTGAGATTTGCAAACACGGGCAAACACATGAAAAGAAACTGCAAAGACTATCTGCCCTTTGTCCATGACCTTTTTTTAGGCAATAGATTTTGACATCTTTTTGAAACTTGCAAAATCCACCCGCGCTTAAAACAAATATAAACTTGCAGGAACGGGTTTATTGCTTGCCTGCATGAAACAGGGGCCACTTTTTGATTTTGGCCTCTCCCAAAAACTCCAGGTGTGTTACACTTCTTTGACGGCGCAGACGAGTGTCTTACCTTGGTATTCTTGATTCAGAATCTCAGCATCCAACTTCAGAGTTGTATACTGTCCAAACGCTGATGAATGTGGCCAAATGCTTTTGAACAGGAGGATGCCTTCAACAAAAATGTGGGAGGAAGCGTCTGATACTCAGAGTTCAAAAGACTTAACTCTGGACTTAATTCCTCCCCAAAAACGAGTCCAGCCTAGGTCTGAACTCTAGTGGAAACCCTGTGGTTTTGCACTGTCATGTACAACCGAGACTAAACTTTGCAGATCAGTCTTTTAAACCCTGCAAGCGACAGAACTCCAGAGCTTTACCTGGAGCAAAGCAAGGTTTATGTCCTCAACTAGTCTCCGTCTTCACAGAGGCTGAAGGAGGAACACTTGCTTGGCTTCGCGAAGCGATCGCTTGCAACGCCTCGTAGTGGTTGAGTCCAAAAACATATCCATATTGGAGGCTGGAGGGCCCCAAGCCTGTGCATTAATCTGAGAAGGCGGTTCGAATTCATCCGAAGATGGCCGATCGGTCACGACATGTATGGGGCGGAGAAGGAGATGGCTATTCAAGCCAAATCGCCTCACCAAACACCTGGTCGCCTCAAAGCTTGAAGGTACGGTTCACAGGAGGGCCACTTTGTATCGAACCAGTGAAAACATTTGAGGGAATGTTGCCAATTTGGGAGACACCTGTTGTCTGAGAGCAAGCGGGTCGATTGGTATGCCTGTTGACCATGCAACTGCCACAAGCATGCAGTCGCTTCCAGGCCTTCATTCCGAACGTATTTCCACAGGTCTAATTGACAAGGCTCCCTTTTCACGCTGCTCCTCACTTTCTTGCTAGGACTGCGCGACAGCCAGGTTTAACTGATCCTGTTCCCACTTGGCCTTGGCCTTTTCAACCAAATCTTGCATCTCTAGGTCTCTTTTGTAGTTTCTGAAGCTGCTTCGTGGTAGTGCTGCTGGCAATAATTGCCCCGCACCTTCTTCCGAGAACATCTCACACCCGTGCCTGCCATGCATAAAGTACCTTCCTCTGAGCCCACACATGAAAGAAATGCTATGGCATGGGGATCTTTGGCCATTCCTGGCAAAAACGAACCTGCATCAACGCTCCTGGCACTTCTCCTCGCCTAAGAAGCAAGACAGAAGAGGCACACCCGACGGGCAGCACAAGCCACCATGCGATGCCAATGGCCGCCATAAGTGGAGCTAAAGTGGAGCTGAGTACAGACAACTCATTGATAGCCAAAACTGGAAGACGATTTGAATAGCAGAAAAACAAAAGAAAAAGGCAATGAACTTGCAACATGATGCCCAGCAAGTCTTCAAGACAAAAAGACTGAACTCTAGAGTTTTGACGCGGTAGGTGTTTCAAGGAAAACAGAAACACTCTCAAACTCACTAAAACAACCGCATCCCTAGATATTCTTTGGAGTTAATACAACAAACAAAGACAAGGGCCTGAAGTATCTCCAACTCTAGAGAAAGGACTGAACTCTGAAGTTAACCTGAAGATGAAAATGGAGGTGAAAAGACTGAACTGTAAAGTTTCAACCTTGAACTCTGAGACTCAGTCCTTTCTTCGTTTGCATGATATACTCGTGAAATGCGCTTCGGCCCGAAAAGAGGAGGTGTCCTGTAGAGGTTGTGGCTACAGGAGACAAGGTTCATCAGTTGGAAGGTTTCCGTTTGAAATCTGAAAGGCCTTCTGCTTTCAAGCCTTGTGGGAAAGCTTCATACCTTCTGAAATGGTTCCTCCTTTCTTAATTTTCCTACACCGAGGGGTGCATACTGGGACTTGGAGCTGTTCCCTTCTAGCTAACCTTGCCGTTCTCTAATACAAAGGAGCGTCCACAGAGATCCAATTATCCGTACAACTGGCCTGCTTCTAAGTATAGTATATGCAAAACTTTGGATCTTAGTGGAAGGTGCAATGTTTACTTGAAAGAACAATATTCAAGATTCACAAGGACCAACCTACCTATACACCTGCTTCTATGCAAAACTCTCCTGCGTTGGGGGTGCAAATATGTTTACTTAAGGCACCAACAATCTGTCTGTCTATCTGATATTGCACCTTTTCCTTCATTGCTTTGCCACTCAGCAGTCCGTGCACATAATCCTACATGCGTGTATGTGTGTGTGTGTCGTATGTAGTTGAAAAATCGGCTATGTGTGGAACAACGAATTGGCTCGCAAAATGTTTCATAAAAGCTGGACTGTATGCAAAGGTCTCTAGGTTGGTGTCTGTTACGCAACATCTCAAAGACTTGCTGTTTTCAGAACGTTCAATCTGCAAATGTCTGTTGAAGTTTGAGAAGGGAGGTGTTTTATGGCATGTCGGCCTTTAGATCATCTTGGTCATTAGCCCATTCAATGGATTGGCGAAAGGGAAAATCTACAGGAAAGGAAAGGAAAACATTGTTTTTCTCCTCCAAGACCTTTGGGCTTCCTGTAGATGTTCCCTTAAACCGAGACCCCAAGCTTCCCACCCGTTGAGCATTTCCAGAGGCTTCCGTTGACGAGCTCACTAAGTGGTGAGGGTGTCTTTTGTCTCCGCAGGTTTACGTGGAAGTGGAAAACCACCCTGTTTTCTCTCCGTCTAAGGGACTTTTTCCACTTCCGTGACTGTTTCAGGGAGACTACTTCTTGCAATGAAGAAGGATCAACTCAAGGAAACGATTTGGATAGGACCTTTTTGAAAAAGAACACCTGCCACAAAAAAGGAAGTCTTTCTAGAAGAGTAGACTATTCAACAGAGCAATGCAAAGGATTGCAGATTCATGAAGGTGTCCCGCTGCTCCACTGACCCCTTCCACCACACTGAGCCGCAACACGCGTCACATTCATTCATAGTCGATGTTTGCATCTAAACGAAGACTGCCAAGAATCAGGCCTCAGAACCAGGTTCCGGGTATTACCTGGTTTCCGGTACCCCCTGGCCCTTTTTTCAAAAGATCCTCCTGGGGCCATGTGCCACGCGTGGGTCTCCCCCCTTCGAAGTGCTGAGGGGTCAACCCTCGACTCGATGGCTGACCCCAGCGATACCCAGTGGTGTTGTTTCCAAAACACGTCTTTTTAGGTGAAAAGCCTGAAACAAAAATGAAAAAGGGCGTGGCCTTTCAGCTTTCGTGCAATTTCTGAATCAATCAGCCTGGCGGTTGAAGACGGCTTCGACGTTGTTGTAAACTACAAATACGCTTGTCACATAGGATACATAGAGTCAAAGGTATTGCAATGTTTCAATTCAAGCAGTTCTGCTTCAGATTGCTCCGTACTCTGAATCCAGTGACGTCCCCACTTGCTTAATCAAGTGGGCTTAGCACAGGCCAGGAGCACTGAAGGTGATCTGACAATCGTTGCACAGCTGAGGCTTTGTCCCAACCTGGGATAGTGTTTTGCTATGCTCCAGAAGATGAGGTGGTCATTGGGCACCGTCCCAACGATTTGACGGTAGGAATCTTCGCCCTTTGAGCTCAAATTCTTGGAACACACCGTGTGCTCACCCCTGAAAATGCTTGCAATCATAGCGTTCTCACTAGTCACTAGTATTCGTAGTGTTCTATTGTTATGTCAACAAAAATGCAACATTAAATACTATACTGGCAAGTTCAGGCAGCTCCACAACAGCATTGGCTCACCTGGTGGCAGCGAAGTTGGCACTTTGCCATCAGAACCTGAGAAACGATAAAGCAAAACATGGCCACCTGAGGAATTGAACTCACTCACTAAGGCCTAAGAACAAATGTGCTTCTTTTAGGGTTGAGGCTCAAACCATCAAGGCAAATGAGCAGTTCTGTCAGAGCCTCAGCTTCAAGCACACTCAAATGCACCTCAGAACCCCTGAGGGTTTGAAAGCTTCGGAAAAAGCTTCACCTCACATTCCCAATGATCGTTGAAAGTTTCACGGCCACAAGCTGGCTTCAGGGGATCCAACTTGATCATCAGAATCTGGTATTGAGGCGTCCTGAGTTGATGCAAAAAAGGTTCAGATGGCTCTGCCATAATAAATTGCCCTCAAAGACAAGAGCTCTGTATGAAAAAGAAGAACAAGAAAAGAAAAAGAAGAGGATCACAATAAGCATTGATAATAGCATGTGCAAATATAAATATTACATATTTATATATATATATATATACGCTCATGGCACGTGGATTGATTCTAGTACTGCAGTGGAAGAGAGTCGTGAAGGAGTCGCGTCCCCGCCCACAAATGGGACAAATGAACTGAGGAAATAGATCGAGCCGTGGCTTTACAACTGCCTGGACCCACTCTGCGGAGTTTCCAGCCAAACCCGGTCACGGACAGTCACGTGTTTTGGGCACAGAAGGGTTGGGAAGGTTAACCTTCTGCAGTTTGGAGTGTTTCTGGCCAGACGTTTTGGGACCTCTCCAGTGCCACTTCCAAGCGGCAATCGACCAGGTCCCGTTGTCGCCGCTGGCTGTGGGCCTTGCTCAAAAAACATGGCTGCCAACCCTGAAGCAAAGAAACACTGGCACTCCAAAGGAAACTTCCCTGGTGTAACAAGTGCTTGTAAAAAAGACTCAGTGCCCTACGACATCACAGCATGATGAGCAACGAACTAGCTGTCAATCTACTTGACTTCTGAGCCGCAAGAAGTGGCAGCACCATAGATCTTTAGATCCATTGGAGGCGAAAGCAATGGACGAAAACATGGCATGCCTCCTAAGTAAAATTGCTTTTTGTCGCATTCAAAGCAGGAACACTGTCAAATGCAGCGCTTTGGGGATGACAACGTCACTCGAAATCATTCGAAAATTATGTGCTATATCTTGGCGCACATGAATATCACTCGGCCTGTGCAATCCAAGAGAAAATGGCCTGAGAGCTACGTCTATGGCAGCTCTACCTCAATCGCACCGTAGGCATTTCAAACATCCAGCAATACGGAAGGATGTTCAGCAAACGAAAGGCGTAGCCAAACTTCAGCATCTCATTCATCTAATCCTCCACCCGTCGCCTTGGCACATAATGTGTACAAGTCAGTCAGTGCAGCATTTTCAGCGACACTTCCCAGGTGCGATACCAAATAGTAAACGCCGCCAACAAAGGGCAGAAGGAGGAGGGCAAAGCCAAGGATCACTAAGGGGCTCTGCAGCTTTTCCTGCAAAGACAGGCGCAGCACAACAAAATGTTGCACTGATCGAAAGGTATCCAACGAATCCTCTGTGATGAAGCCACTCCAGTTCCTAGCTTAGGTAAGCGACTAGCGGCCTACCCCTCCGCGGGCTAGGGAAAAAGAACAGAAAAAATAGTAGCTTTATCGTTACTAGTAGAAAGGCCAGGAGCTACTAGTAGCGTTCTTGTTACTACCAGTAAGGCACTTGTTACTAGAAGCGATGCACTTGTTACTAGTAGCTTCTTGCTACTAGTAGTAAGGCCAGGAGCTACTAGTAGCGTCCTTCCTCCCAGCAGCGATGCCCTTTGTTTCTAAGTCTTGGGACAACTTCCTTCAGGTCAAAAGCCCCGCAAATGTCCACATGTCACCGACCCGAAACCCTCGCTGCCTCTGCAGGCAAATCATCAAAGTCGCTCCTGAAATCAAAGTTGCAAGTTTTCTTTGCAACTCATCAGGACGAAACACTCGATGTCGCTCAAGAAAGACCTGCTCAGGAAAACAATCGATGCTCCTCCAGAAGTTCATGTCTTTCTCATCTTCCGGAGTCCTGAGCATGCATGTCTTTCTTTTCACACCGTGGCATGGTGACCCTGTAAACATGCTGAGCATGGAGCCTTGGCATTTGATAGGTGTCATCAGGACTAAGCTGTGGTTCCAGATCTCGAGGTGGTGAGGCTTTGCCCTGGACGGGTCCACCAAGCCGATCCCGCGGTTGTAACTCTTAAGGGTGAACATGAAAAGCATCGTTAAGAGCATGTCCAACAGCGTTCCACTTGTGGCATTGCAGGGCATTGCTATCTGCTTCTCCTAGACATCTCGACTCCATGAATGTCCGACTCAGAGCTGCCCGCCTCTGCAGTTCTTCGAACAAGACTTCGACTTCTTGTTGGTGAAATGAAAAGCCAGGCACCTGCAAAAGGCGCCAGCTCAAAACAGCCAGACACAGAAGTTGTTGGAGCAACCCACGTGTAAAGGCCAGCTGTGGCCCTGCTCGACCTTGAAGGCAAAAGACCAGAAGCAGGGCGATCAAAGTGACACCTGCACGGTTTTGGCGTAGATTCGTTTAACTTCCAAATCACTTGAAGAAACCCGCAACTAAAAGAACATCTGTTGATGCTTCGTCACGACTCTCTTGTCCAATCGGATATTTTGGACTGCCAATCCTCAGGCTCGATCTCTGCTGTCAAATGGACTGTCGAATTTCACTTGGTAAAAACCACAAGGGACAGACTCGGGAGCTCGAGGGGTCGAGGACAGGAACCAACACGTGGGCAGCTTTAGAGGCGCCCAGCAAATCCCAAAAAGGGCAAAACAGTGGAGCAAGTCATAAGTTTTGCGGAACCAATGTCTGCATGCAGCGTGTGCGCGTGTGGGAGGGTCTTGCCATCGCTGCGTGTTCTTCTCCAACCTGCAGAACGGCGTCCTTGCATGGCCTGGCCGTAGAAGTGACATTGTTGACTTGGACCGCTGCATAAATATTCCATTGGATAAATCATTTAAACAACCATATGACCATACATCATATAGACGTGACAAAACTATATTCTTTCATATTCTTTCATGCTCTAAGAACCACGGTCCAAGCAAAACTTAAAGTGCTTGTTTCTTTTCTTTTGCCAAATTGATGGAAGTGTAGCACCTATGTTGATCAAAATGCTGCAAAGAATGTCTCTCCTCTCCTTTTGCAACAGCTTATCCTCCCCGCTGAAGCCTTTGTTCACTACAAGGCCCAAACAACCTACCGTCTTTTCATCCGCTTTCGGGCCTCTTACGGCTGCAAATGAATGCTTTCCGAACCTACTGTACCCTGTCAAGAAAAGTTCGCCCAGCCGAAAGTTCTACAGCCACACGATGTTTCAACACTAGTGAAGTCGCTGCTATCAATCAATGTCATCGCATTTCTCCAGCTTCCACTGTGACAGACTGCTCACCAACCAAGAGCAGGTGAAAAGTCTGTTTTCAGCAACAATTACAATAATGAAACCGATTAAGCATCCGTCACTCCAATCTGCAATAAAGACCTGCTATTGAGAAAGCATTCAGTGGGCGCCTTCAAACCAAGTTGTCAACAACTGCAATGTTTGATTTTGGAGGTTGCACTTGTCTCCAAGAGCGGCACCGAACTCCCTCGGGCAGAAATCCAAATGTCCTGAAAGGTAGATTCCAAAAGGGTCGAAAGCACCGAAAATCGCACACAGCTTCACTTGCTTGGCCCAAAAGGACTCCGAATCTTTGTTGACGCCTTTGGGCCCCTTTGGGCTTTGTAGAAATTTGTAGGGTGCATCTTTGGAGAAACAGAAAACCAAAAACCTCCGCAGCCGCTTGACGCTTGGGGCCCCCCAACTCCGGAGGAAGCAGCTTGATGCCCGCGTAGATGAGACCAAGCTCCAAAACGCCAATCACCACCTGCGGTCTTGGTTCTTTTTTTGTGTTGTTTTGTTGTTTCTTCTTTTGCCCGGCGCCTACCTGATTAAGTAAGGACGGTGGACACAGGATAGCGCACGCGATTCATTTGGTTCCTAGATTCTTAGGGAAACAAACATTCATGTCAGCGCTGTGCGAGGAATTACACCTACTCCAGCTTGAAGGGACATGTACACACAGGGCAACCGTGTGCTTCTGTCGGGTGGATCTTAGTGGGGAAAACATTTCACACAAATGATTGCTCAAAGCAAGCACTTGTGAAAGCAGGTCTGAGGCCACAGGTTGTGCCCTTCTTTGATATGTACCTACAAAGCAAGAAAGTTACATGGAGCAAGGTCATATCCAACGCCATCCCTGTAAGTGTGCACCACTTCACATACAGTCAGAGATGACTCATGATGTTTCCATCTGTCATGCCCCCCTACCTCATGAGCACCTATGAATCGGGTGGGATGCCCCCAGCTCGGCCGAACTCCGAAAGCCTCCTTCTGCGACAATTCGACAATGTTTTCAAAGGCAAGGAAGATTGAAAAATCCACAAATTCCAAATCGTTGCTCTTCTGAATAAAAGTGAAATTCTGAGCTTTGGCTGGTTGAGTGACCCAAATCCCCAAACATGAATTATCTCAGGAACCCGCCTCGATCGCGGGGAGGAGCCAAATTGGTATTCCAAGAGCTTCAAGGATCTTGCCAAGATCACCCTGCGATCTTCACAAGCTTCTTGAAGCAGTATTGATCTTTCTTCAAGAGCTTCTGCCAAGATCATGCAAAGCTTCTTGGCTCACCCTCACCCTTCTTGGAAGCTCACCCTTCTTGGAGCAACTCAAGAATTCGGATCGCCTCGTTGATCGCATCTTTCAGGGCAGCCACGCCTCATTCGATTCGGAAGAGCAAAAGCTGCAAAGGAAGTCATATCATCTCGTCATCTCCTGCAACTCATACAACAAGATACAACAAGCACAGCCTTCATGCTCACACCTCACCACCTGACACCTCAAGCCTGTGCACCTTGTCCCACAACAGGCCTTTTAGGTCGCTATCCCCACCGGTCGGGTGCCCCGGCGCTCCGCCGACACACGTTGCCGCGCGTCCTCCTCCATCTCGCTCGGCTCGCCGCCCTCGCCCGTCGAGCTGGTCTCGGGGCTGGGCGCGGCAGCGGACGAGGTCCGCGGCCGCGCCTGGGCTGTCAGCGGCCGCACCTGGGTCCCGAGAGATTCCGAGCTGAAGGTCCCTGCTTGAAAGCGTGGAGAAGGCATGTGACATGCGGCATGTGTGTGTGTGTGTGCGTCAACCCCTGTCTCAAAGGGAACTAACCTGTCTATTTTTTTTTCCTTCGCTTCGCATTTGTACAGCAGCAGGGGGATGCCGGGGATTTCCATGGTCGGCATCCAACGAAGACACCATGGATTTCCTGTGATATGAGTCAGGGACGCCTGACTCACGTACCTGCAAATGTGATTTGTTTTGCAGTAAAGTGCTAATGCATTCAGCTAATGCAGTAACTTAAAGGGCTAATGATCACCGCTAAATTCTGAAACTACGCTCTACGGAGCACTCTTCTCAAGTGTGTGAAAGCGTGGGAAAAGGCTTCCTGCTGTGGCGTTCCATTGTCACACTCTGTCAGCCACAACTGGCCTTCTCAGCTTCCAACGGCTGTCAAGCTCCTACTCTGAGCTGCAAGGAAAGCCTGTGGGATGACAGCCGAACAAACGCAGGAGCCAAAAAGAGAATTTGTCTGATCTTCAGTTGATTGCAGTACTGGGCACTGGCACTAAACATCTGGTGAAGCACACAACCAGGACTACCACGCATACCTGCCCCGCACTCCTCCAAACTCACGGCGCGCAAAAGACACTGAAAATTCCAAAAGCTTCGAAAAGCTCCAACTCTCCTGGAGCGACGCTCCTCGCTCGGCGTGCCGCGGACGCTCCTCGGGGCTCGCCGCGGAAAGCACCCTCTGCGGCACGGTTGACCTGGCGAGCAAATCCGCTCAAGTGAAGGGCGAACTAAACTTCCCAGTTTGTGCGATGTCGACATGTTCGTCTTTTTCATCTTTCTTGTCCTTGTTGTCCTTTCCTTTTTGTTCTCTTTTCATCTCTTTTTCTTGTTTTGGTTTTGTTTCCTTGGATCTTTACAGTAACTCAGTAAACTCGAGCCTCGTTCCTTCCTTTATTTCTTCCATTATTCTCTTTCCCTTCCTTTGCTTCCCCTTGAGTGCATTGGCATGCATTGGCCTTGATCCTGCTGAGGTCCCATCTGCGGTGGCTAGCCAATAGCAGGGACGGCAGGCAGTTGTTTTCTCACGAAGACAGTGCTGAACCAAGACAATCCCAACGTTACCATCCAGTGGCAACTTCTCAAAATGCTGCTGTGTACAATTTCTTCTCGCGTCCTCTTATTGCTGTTGCTGTTACTGTACCAGCTTTCTGCGACACTGCATTGTATCCAAGCCAAGACAGGAAAAACAAAAGAACTGTGTGCAGTGCACCGCGGCCTTCTTGCAATGATTACAGTCGGTAAAACAGACTCAATCCTTTTCTGTGGTGATCTGCCGCACGAATATCTCTCATGGTAAGAACACAATATCTTTGAGGTCTTAAAAGCTCTCAAGAACATTAGTGTTGAAGTGAGCATGCTTTGGAGTCTAGATCTGCTTTGCATCTCTTAATTTCTCACTAAATTGTTGAGCAGCTTCTAACTTGCTTTCTGCGCGGAGAATCAGCTTGCAAGAAGACCAGCTGACCTGCCAGGCAGTCCGAAAACAACCCGCCGCACCGATGACCGGTCAAAGTCGCCGTCCGAACCTGTCGCATCTACATCGATCCAAATTCTGTTCCCCGCCTGAAAGAGGCCTTCAGACCTTCTTGAGGCCCTTCCTCACCTTCTTCGCTTTCTTCTTGAACTGGGCATATGGGTCGGCCTCAGATTCCAACCCTCTGAGTCGTCACGGTCACGTCGCAGGTGCCGTCGTGCTCCCCGAGAGGCGGACCGAGCTCCTCCTACGAAAGCGACGACGAGGTTCGTTGAAGGGAAAACCATAGTCCATCATGAGCTTCAAAGCATCTGGCCTTGAAAAGAATCAAAGCATCTTTCATGTTCAGCTGGGAGGACGTCGAATGGTCGAATGGTATTTTTGCGAACGGATGGAAAGCGTGCCCTGGCCCCGTTCAAGCCCTTAGTTCGACATGAAGCTCGCGCGCAAAAGCTCCTTTTCGCCTGGTTGGGCACTTGAGCCAAATGTTTATGGCAAGTGTCCATGTAGCAATTATACTGGGACCTCATCTCTATTCACACCCCCCACATCCGTGCTTCGACGGGGAAGGGAGATGATTGGATGTAAAAACCGGAGAACAATCATGTTCTCAAAAGTGCGTTGGAGGTCAACCAGTATGTCCTATGAAACTGAATTAGCAAACGATCTTGCATTCGCATGAAAGATGGATCAAACAGGTAATGGAGCTACAAACGGAAAACGTGCATCTACCAGTGGTATCATATGATTACCGACGGTGTGAAACACATTCCTATCTCACCCCCATGATGCCAAAATGGTCATCATGAATTACCCAAGATCCCTCAGTACGTGAAGTACTGGAAGTAGTGTGTCGGCACGACCCCAATGCTCAACCATTCGTGAGTTGTCGCATGTAGTCAGCTCCGACAAAACCAATGTAGTCCTTGATGAGCTCAACGTTCCTTGGGTTTCCCCTTCGGATCTGCTCCTCAAAGAGCTTCAATTTCTGTGTTTGGATATCGGATACCTCTATGCCGTAGTAGCGGCACGCAACGAGGATCTCCTTTGTGACATTCTTCCGCTCCGATTTGATGGCGGGGCTAATGTCAATGAATTTGTATGGAGCGGTACCTTCGTCATCTGGCTTCTGGTAGTAGCTGTATCGGCTCGCTCCGAAGGTCTTCCTGATCAAGCGTCTGATGAAATTTGAGATGAATGCCAGCTTCTCGATGATCTCTTCCTGGGTCTCAGATCTTCGAGCCTTTGGATCACTCATGTTACGCCGAGTGCTGCCGACCTCTCTGAGATACTTGTGGCTAAGCCCGCAGCGGATTGCAGTGATCATCATCGGGTGAATAACGTGGGCGTGGAATTCATAGATCTGCCACGCTTCTGTTGCATATGTGTCGTTGGTCCATTTGCTCATGCCCACGACCTCGGCTCTCTGAAGGCGTCTTGGAAACCCAATATCCGGATCATTCGGTACTAATGGCCATCTATTGAATGGAGTGTCATGCCGCTGTCCATCGTCGAACTTTCGCAGTACGTCTTCACGATTCTCAAAGCAATTGATGTCGAACGTTGCGTTGGCCAAGCTCTTGATCAACTTCATCAACCTCAGATCAAATTGCTGTGTGACTGCAAAGTTGTGGTCGATGGGGATCGCGGCTTCCTGTGGCAATTCGTCAATTGCGAAGGGGAAAGGCTGTGGAAGTTCATTCCCATATCCATCTTGAGGGACCTCCCGATACTCGGGTTCGCCTTCAGCCTCGTCCGGTCGTTCCTTCATGATGATAGGAACTCCCTCGTCTTCCTCTCCTTCGGATTCCTCGACGTCAATGACTTCTTCGGCTGTCTTGCGTGCTTTCTTGATGACTTCGTCGATGTTTGCGCCTGCAGAAGAAGTCGCTTCACCGGAAGAACCGGCTGGCACGTCTCTCGGAGGTGATCGTTGATTGCGGTCCCTTGTCTCCTTGGGTACCACATGCGTGAGCTTCCCATTCGCGATCAAAACCGCTACGCAGTGTGGACATATCGTCAATCGCACATCGACCTCGCCAAGGCAGTTAGGACACGGTCTTGAATCGTAGTCTTTCATTGCTCGGCGATATACGATCTCCTCAAAGATCTCCTGCCACTCAGTGCTATCATATTCTGGGTAGATACCACTCTCCTCGATCGTGCCCAACAGCTTTGAGATTTTGGCGTCGTCCTCGGAGTAGGTATCGTCCTGGACCTCGATCGCCAAACTCTCAAGCTTTTGATAGCGTGGAGTCATGATCGGGTTTCCGTATTTGGACTCCAGAACAAGGTAGCTTCCAGGGTCGGGTTCTCTATTGAGTAACCTGATCCATTCGATCTCCTCAGGCTGTCCGGGTTCTGCATTGTCGCACTGCAACCATGCCCCTTTAACCTCATCGAAGGGAACGACATCCTCAACCAATAGAGATCCAGTCGCTGAGATGAGAAGCCCGTACTCCTGCAGCTTCCACACCGGAATGTAGAGAACCACTGGGCGATCACTCAATGCGACCTTACGACCCAGCCAAGGTTTTCCCTTGTAGCCCTGTTCCCAGGCCCATGGTGGAAAACATGTGAAGTGGATAGAATCCCTTCCCGATAAACCGAGACCTCCTGGCACCAGCCCCCGTCGCATGATTGAAGTCAGCGCTCCAAGGTTGGTAGCGTGAAATGCAGTCACCATGGATAGGGCCATGTCGTTGGTCATTCTCGATCCAATGTGGTCGATGTTGATGGTGACGTCATAACCTCCGCCGTCCGACGAGTGTGCTGAGGTTGCTCTTACGGCCACGGGAAAGCACCATCCATCGCTATTGTGGAGTCTTGCTTTGGTAATTCCCATGCCCTTGAGCTCGTCAATCCATTCCTTCTCCATCGGGTCATCAGGATCATTGAGTTCATCAGGGTGAACGCGAACTGCCAACATTTGGAATCTGATCCTCTTGGTTATGCGGAAACACTCGTAGTTCTGGTCGAGGTACTTTTCCAAACGCGCCTTCTTGGTCACGATGTCAATGTTGCCATAGTGATAACCGTCTTCCCAAACCGCGTTATCACCTAATAGGTCTTCCCATGACACCCACGCGCCCTCATCGCATTTGATTGGAGTGAGTCTTCCTCCTGTCCTGAACTGGCGTCCAATTCGATGTCTCAACTTCGCTCCCAATCGGCGACTCAGGGCCTGGCTCGCTTGGCTGTACTCTGGTACTCGACAGTCTGGAGTCGGATACTTGTGGTTGCCGTAGTCGGAGTTCTGTGCAGCGAAAGTGACTCCATTGATCGGTACTAGCTCAACTCTCCCGACCATTGTCATGGGGTCGATCGGCTTGTATCCCTTCTCCCTCCGTGTCGGTAGGGGATAGAATTGATGACATGCCTTTGGTTTGAGGGAACTGGAGTGCACAAATGCCTTCTCCACAAACTCGTACACCACCTTCATATCCCTAGGGCCTACTTCCGCCAGCTTCCGCCCGTTGTAGGAATGTGTCCCTCCTTCGACTCCATCAGCACTTTCAATCAAGGTGAACCCGTCATGGTCAAACATTGTCACGACTCTTGCTTTCAACATCTCTTTTCGCCTGAACTCGCTGTCGACCTTCCTATCTGGAGTAGGCGATGCTCTCTGCTTCTTCTTCTTAGGCCCCTCGGTTGGATGTCCGGATGGTACATCGTCGGGTGCAACCTCTCCCTTCACTCTCTTTTTCCAATCACTCAGCACTGAGGTGACTGTGGGTGAAGATGAAGGGATCTTCTCGCAATTGAGAGTTGTGTGTCCCGACTTCATGCAGTGGATGCAGAATTCTGCTTGCCCGATCTTCTCCTCAAACTCTTCAATGGCTTGCAGTATTGATGTCTTCGGGTCGGACATGTCAACGTCTGGCTCCTCCTTCTCCTGTTCAAATTCAGTCTCCATATCGACACCTTCGGCCTCGGGCTGGTCGTTAGCCTCTGTTCCATGTTCTGGTTCTTTCCCGATTTCGAAGAAGTGGTCGATGTCGAATTCAGGAGGCGGCATGGTCCTCATGCGAACGAGAATCAGTGCCACGTTTGCCGCCTCTTCAGAGTGCGGGTCCAATGTCCTGATCATCGATCGCTTTCGGTTCTCATACGTTGTCCTGTCGTACAGTGATGCAGTGACACGCTTGATGGATTCTTCTAATCCCGTCCTCAAAGCCTCGATGTCACCCCATCCCGAGAACAGGTGTTTGAAGAGTTGAGCAACTTCTAACATGCCCAGCAGCGCTTCCACCATATCACCTACCCGTTCCTCCGAGGGATCATCTCCGAACATATTGCGGAACACCTCGGGCTCCAGTATGGTCTTGAGATATTTGGTGTAGCACACGTTGCCAAGGTCATAAGATCCCTGAAAGTACATGGCCTTGCCGATTATCTGCTTCTCCACATGAATGCTGGGTCCTCTCCTCGTTTTGAAGAAGTTCTCCGTCATCGTTGATGACAACCTGATCCCCCCGAAGAACGAGATTTCCTTCTGGAAACCTGGGTTCCCGTTAAAGATGATCATCGCCTCATGTAAGAACTTCATCAGATCTACGTGCGGGTTCATCTCGGAGATCATG